AGATAGAGAGAGAGAGAGAGAGAGAGAGAGAGAGAGAGACAGACAGACAGACAGACAGACAGACAGACAGACAGACAGACAGACAGACAGACAGACAGAAATCCTCGCTTTCAATTGAGTTTTCCCCTCAATAACTATCAACATTTGGCAAAATGGATTGCAGGGAGCCGTGGAAATACCTTCAAAGCCCCCCCACACACACACACCCCAACCTTGAACACATTTTAACAACTTGTTAGAAAGATTGGGAATATATGGAATAAATAAATAAACTGAACATAAATAAAGGTGACAACAGACACCCTACTATCTGTCTGTCTGTCTAAACATTTCTAACAACCCCTCCATCCGTAACATAACAGATACCCTAATAAATACAAAATAAGATAACTGAGCCAGTACAAAAAATTCAAATCTACTAATCATATGAAGGACAGTTTGAAAATCGTTCTACTGTTGTAACAATAATGCATCTATCTTCACTAAAGTATTTATTTTTAAATCATTGTGGGCTACATTAGATAGATAGATAGATAGATAGATAGATAGATAGATAGATAGATAGATAGATAGATAGATAATAGATAGATAGATAGATAGATAGGAACATGGATGGATGGATGGTTGGATGGATTTTCCCCCCTTTACTTCACACTATTTCCCCTTTTGATGGGGAGAGGAATCCTGTACTGCCTTGTGCTTCATCCAAGATGATGGGAACCAGCTGGCCGGCCGGCCTGCTTGATTAGGGTGGCTTGAGTATTCTTTGGTTGTCTGTGTAAGAGCACCAAGTGCTAGCTAAAACCAGAAAAGGAGCCATCTGCAACTCACTCATGAGCTGCTTGAAAAATTTTGCTTTTCTCCTCTCTCACAAACATCTTCCTCTGTGTGTGTATGTATGTTTGCAGTGTCCTATTGCTGAACTTGAGGAAAGAAGAGGTGGTGGGGTAGAAGCATGGGTGTGGAATGGAATAGGGAAGCCTCCCCAGCACTCTGCTTACCTTGCATTTCACAAGCTTGGGAAGAAGAAGGTGGCCTCTGGATGGCAGCTTCTCCCTTCCTTCCCTGTGGATTCCTGCCTCCCCCCCCTCCCCAACAGGCAATTATAATTAAGTCATCATTTGGAAAGTGCGAATGTATAGATGCACACACTCACGAAGGAAGGGACGTGCTCATGGAAAGAATGGGGGGGCAGGGTTGTGTTGTATGAATGTGTCTTTCTTATTTATTAATTATTTGAATTGTGTACTGTCGCCTAGTGAGAACACACTTTGTAACATGACGAATCACATTAAAAATCAACAGTACCTAATATAATCTGTAACAAATACCATAAAGTAAACACTGTCACTAGTGTATGTAAGTGTACTGGAGGACCTCTGCACTTGCAGTATTGTGAAGTTTTATACTACTGCTCCCAACCGGTTGAAGATGTCAGCACTGATTCAAGACTGTTGCCTTAGTGCATGTACAGGACTGGGTCTACCTCTACGTAGAGCGAGATAGTCTCTATAAGGAGCAACAAGGTGACAGGAGACAGAGATTTCTGTCATATGGCCTGATCTATTCCGTATTCTTCTAAGCTCATCTGTGGCCATCTTTTTCTTTGTATCAGGTGGTAAAATGTCTTGGGCTGGCTCTGGGTATATACAGTGATTCTCCCTTTAGCTGTGCTAATTCAGGGTGGTTTATTTATTTATTTGACAGTGGAAAGAGAGAGAGAGAGAGACAGAGATGTGTTCATTATGTTGTTGATGCTTCTATTACATCCCTCAAGGAGCTATTGTGTATCTCCACCACCCCTGAGAATATTTCTGAGTCCACAATATTATCTTTATTTTATCTATTTATCTCACATTTCCAAACATCAAATATGGTTTTCTGTTTTTCTCACATTACTTGCACAATTCTGAAGTGTACTGTTTTGATGTATTTTAAGTATGGGAAAAGTGTTCTTTATTTTGAAAATCCCCCCCACACACATGTGTTCAAAGGAATTACATTCAATTAAAACATCACAAGCCAGGTATTTTATTGTCTCTTAAGCCGCGAGTCTCCTAAAATTCAAGGTTTATTGTAACTCTTTCCAGTGTTGATTGATTCCTTGCATTTGAAACTCTTAGGTGCACATCTCATTGACACTGTACTTCTGTTTTCTCTGATTTTTCATCCTTCAGATCGATGGAAAGGATTGAAAATTCCTAGACATTGTTGACATAAGTTTGTTTATTTGCTTCCTTGCTTCCTTGTTTGTTTGTGGTATGCACATCACCGGTTGACCTCTTGGTGGTTTGCTACATACAAACAATTATAAAGCAGATGGTTGTTGTGGGTTTTTCGGGCTCTTTGGCCGTGTTCTGAAGGTTGTTCTTCCAGGTTTAAAGCACTTTTAAAAAGACAAGGACAAAAAAGCACGTGAACAAATAGCACAGAGAAAAGAGAAGTTATGATGAGCTTGGCAAGGCCAGCATTAACAGGTGTGTTTTCAGCAGGTGCTTCAAACCGAATAGTGCAGCAACTCAGCAACAGAACCCATTTTCGGCGTGTTTGAAAACCCCATGTTCAATGCCTGGTATCACCACGTAGGGCAAGGAAAGAATCCGGCCTGAAGCCTGGGGAACTGCTGCTCTGAGCTACATGCACAAAGGGGCTCGCTCTGCAAGCCCGTGTCCGACACATTCCTCTTGATGTGCGACTAGGAAAAGTATATGTGAGGATTAGTGCCGCCATTCAGAAGGCCAGCTTCAGGATATCACACGATGGCAGTCCACAATTAATATGGCTTCTATTGACAACTTCAAAAGCCAGCTGGCCATTTAAAGAAGGAGGCAAATTGCTATGAATTCTGGTGCCAAACTTGCTTCAGAGTTTGAATAGCAACAACAGGCTGGATACCTCTGTTGAGTTAGAACGTGGTGGAGCTCTGTGGGTTGGGAGTTCAAATCTGCCTTATGGCTCTTAGGCAGAGAAAGCCGCGTGTGCAGTCTTGGCAAGCTGCACAGTCCTGTGCCTCCCCCAGAAGAAGGGAATGGCAACCCATTTCCAAGTAGTTTATACCTAGTAAACTTTGTAGATCAGAAGTGACTCCCCAGTACTCAGCTGTTGTTATTATAATATGGCAACGGCAGAGCCTCAAACATAGCCCAGGATCACTCACACAAATGCAATTCGAATATAGCTTGGTGTGCCACCGGGCAGCCCAGCTCTTGAATTCTGCATTAGCAACAATCGGGCGCAAGGTCAGCATCTATCTATCTATCTATCTATCTATCTATCTATCTATCTATCTATCTATCTATCTATCTATCTATCTATCTATCTATCTATCTATCTATCTATCTATCTCTCTATCTATCTATCTATCTATCTATCTATCTATCATCTCTCTCTCTCTCTCTCTCTCTCTCTCTCTCTCTCTCTCTATCTATCTATCTATCTATCTATCTATCTATCTATCATCTATCTATCTATCATCTCTCTTGTCCCAGAGTTGGCATTATTTGTTCACTCCTCGTTGCCGATGCAAATTGATTTCCATTCTGTACACCCAGTGCATTATCATTCATCAGCCAACCTGCAACCTATTACAGGCAAATTCGCAAGTCCCTCACTGGAAAAGCCGCCAAGGGGGTAAAACCTCATATATGTACCAGCTTCTCTTTTGCTTTTCACATTTCACTGCAACCTAATCATTATTATTCCATCAGGCTATCCTTTAATGAGCTTTGTGATGTCGTTGGAGGGGGGAGAGAGAGGGTGTTTGGTGAATATTGCATTGCAATCTGATGGTGGTTCATAATGAAAATGTGTAACATAAAAGCAGTGATACCCTCATTCCAATTATGCTACAGCTTGTTAACAAACATTTTAACAAGGATATTGATTAAACAAGTCTCTCTTTTTACGCTGGAGTGGAGGAGGAAGAAACCTAGGCTTTTACGTAGAGTTTGGCCTTGGTTTTGCTGAAGATTTTGGTTTCTTGCCAAATTGGTTGTCTCTCTCTCTCTCTCTCTCTCATCAGATTCTCTCGGGCATTTGCTTTTTCTAGAGAGCAGTTCGGTAGGCACAGTCATACTGCGTGCAAATTGCATTGGTTTTCAGAACTCTGTCTTTGGATAGCT